CCCCAAAACCCCAAAACCCCAAAACCCCTTGTTATAAAAATTTGGAATATTAAAAGAATTGAAGATAATTTTTAATGTAAATTTACTCACATCAATTAACACATATTCACTGAGCCATTGATAATTTAGAGCAAGTCAATTTATTAATGAAAAGCCAGTTGCAAAAATGCTGAGTTAAATCTATGCCATCAGCTCTTTCTAGTCTAGCCATATTATTACCTGGATCATCAAGGAATACTGTTACAAATTCATTTGCTATTTCTGGGGCAAACTCACAATTATTTATTGCTGTGAAATCACTGTGTATTCCAAATTACTGGAAATTCTACATTTTCAATTGATACTTTTGATGATACTCAGGTGTGCCATAGTGCTGTTTGATTTCGTATTCTGCTCTCTTTTGCCATCCATAGATATTAAGGCATTGTCTAAACATTAAGATAAACTTAAGCAGAGTATTAGTGTAGTAACTTGGATTTGTAATGAATGAAAACTCTCTTAAGTATAGTGTGAAAATTTGCTCACAATTTAGCATGTTTTTCTTCCCTTCAGGATAGATTCTAATATCCTTAGTCACATCATGAAAAGTTTTTCTCAGTTGCTTTGCCTTTTGGGCACCTTACTCTGCTACTTCATTATCAAGACCTGAAGGAGTCACTGTAAACGAAAATAATGACATTATCGAATGCATTGGATGTAGACTAGTATCACTCAATCTCTCTCCTAAAATTAGCTTCGCCATTTCATGAAATCCAGTCATAATATCTGTAGGCCCTCCAGCTTTTTCAGGAGTATACATAAATAGATTGCTATTGGGATCTGGTCTTCCTATATTTGCATAAGTCAAATTTCCTACATTTTGATAATCACAATATCCCTAGAAGTTTTATTTATTAATGTGAAATTACTATTTTTCTTGGCCTACCTCTCCCCTTTTTGTCTGCTGAACTTTAAACGGATGTTTAGGGTGTTGTTAACCCACAAGTATTACTAGCATTTGCTGTGATAGCAGCAATTGTTTCTTTTGTATCAGTTTAAGAATTAATTAAATGCTTATTTTCTTCGGTAATATGCTTCACCTTCATGTGCAAATATAATGCAGGATTACTTAAATAAGTCTTCCCGCATATTTAGCATAGAAAGTCCCGAGCTTAAGGATTTTCTATATTTGTCTCACTATAAAAATTTAATGGATTAAAATTACACTTCTGGTGGAAATGCTGCAGATTTCGGAGGTCGACCTCTTCCTCTTTTTACAGCTTATTGAGAATTTGGTTGCTATTGTTCTTCCATTCAAAAATATAATTTCTCCAAATTTTTAAAGTTTGTGTTATTTTTCAATGAAGGGGTTTTGGGGTTTTGGGG